AGGTACGTCACAGACGAGGTTTGTGGTTGAGGTACAGGATGAGAGAACAAAACGCAATCAGACAGGAAAATGACAGCTTTCCTGTAATAGACTGAAAAAGGAAGGAAAGAAAAACAGAAAGTGGAAATAAGAGAGCAAGATAGTGGAGAATTGGTCTCCGTGCCTGTGGTGCATGAAGTCGCTGATTTCTGAAAAGGGAAGACATAGAGACACAAACAGAGAGAGAGAGATGGGGGTAAGAGAGAGAGGCAGCTGTCTGGTGTCTGCAGCGCAGCCGCTGTCTCAGCCTCTGTGGGAGATCGACAGGACTCCATCTGTCTGCCAGACACGTCTGCACACCAAGCCTCAAACAATCACAGCTGCCTGTCTTTCACAATCATACAAACACACACACACACTAGCTATCTACGAGACCCAATTGGCACGATTAGGAAAACGTAATGAAACAGGAAATGATGGAGACAAACAGATCAGGTAATGTCACAAGCCTAAATGACTCAAATTTCCGTCAACAAAATGAGTAGCATGGCTCATTGTATTGCTGACGCATGCATGCTAACCATTAGACCGTCAGCACAACACTTCAATTTTAGAAAAAAAAAATCTAACATCAGATAAATCTAAACTTGGGTGTGGAATCTAAAAATATTTGTGTTCTGACAGTCTCTGGTCAGGTGGTCCCCATTTAGCCATGAGCTTTAACCACTTGTGCTCTATAGACACACTAGCTGGATACAGTGCCTAGGCAACAGACATAAATACAGACATACACAAACTCAAAAGCCATCCAAGAAAGTTCTGAAGAATTCTCTAGAGCATCTGGAACATCAGCTGTGTCAAAATAACAAATCATATATGTTAAATTTTATTGTTTTTAATAAAATTATTTATTATTATTATTACTATTATATGAATTATTTATTTTGGCACAAAAATGTAGTTGTATCGTTTCAATAAGAATTTTGTTAATGCTTTGCTACTGGAAGAGAGCTGAACTGGATGATGGCATCACTGAATCATCAATGAACTGACTTTAGCTGGAAAAATGACTCTGTTATTGTCTTTTTGTCATTTTCCTGTTTGACACTGTAAAGCTGCTTTGACACAATCAGTATTGTATAAAGCGCTATACAAATAAAGGTGACTTGACTTTGGAAAAGATTAAGAAAAAATTTAATTAATAAAATTAATAAAAACTATAATAAGCTTAGGTTATTATCTAAAGTATAGATCACAGGCATGTTTCACCAGTGGCTATTTCAAAATCAGGGACACCCAGAATATGCTGTCAAGGCAGACAGCTCACTAGGTTTGAAACACAGCCAGTGTCCTTGATGAAGGGGAAGAGGGCTGGTTCTGAACAAGCTAAAGTGCTGTGTGCAGAAGTCCGGCGGTGAGGGTCTGATCGTCACCAACATCCACACGGCCACCTGTGGAAACTCTGAGTCACTTGTTCTGGCACTCCAGCATCACAGATGTTTAGAGTGAACATTTCATCCAGTAAACTGATGAGTATGTCTGCCCTGCTTCCCGTACAGACACACATGCACCTAAAGATGAGTTTGCATGTGTTGCTGTTCTTTATCGCCACGACCCACGTAAGCTCAGCATTTAAGTAATGACCTTTCACGCACGCACATATGCCTGTTTACAATTCCATCAAAAGCTGTTTAACAGAACTGCAAGCACCTGCTTCTTTGACACCACTTCACTCCTAATCAGTGTTGTTATTGTTAACTGAAACTACATTTATATCTATTAGAAATCATTTACAGCACTTCAAATAAAGCTGAAATAAAATAAAATAAATATTAAATGAAGTTAAAATTATTAAATTAAATTTATTTAAAATATATATTTATTTCAATTTTAGTTTTGACAATTTTAATAATGTTAACTTAAATAAATTTTTATTTCAGTTTTAGTTATAAGTTAAAATTATTACATTAAAATTATCAAACTGAAATAAAAATAGAATTATTTTTTTTTAAATATTAAAGCAAAACAAATTTAATAAAATGTAAACTAAAATTTTAATGTGAAAACTGAAAATATAATAAACACTGATTCAAAATATTAATAAATACTAAAATAGTACATAAATATATATTTGAACTTCCTGCATATGTTTTACAGCTGGGGTTTTCAAACTAGGGTCGGTGGAAAATTAGAGAGACAAAATATATTTTTTTCATTTTGCTTAAAACAATATAAATCAACAAAATAGGACTGTCATATTTACCATAATTAAATTATTTAAACCCCCCTGATTTAAAAATCCTTACAGCTTAAAATAAAATTATAAAATTCATTGAGAAATAACAGGATGGCCAAGAAAAAGCACAAAAGAAACAGAGAAGGATCAGGCAAAGTGTCGGGGTAGGTGCAAGACGCTGCCAGACAGGGATGTGTCAGGAGCTCGACAGTTAACGTGTAAAGAGAAGGCGTCACTGACTTGCTCGCATTTGTGGGAGTTTGATATCTCACCCTCAGCCGAGCGCAGCAGAGATGATCCCTGGGGGCATTTAGTGTGTGTGTGTGTGTGCGAATCAATTTCTTTAGTGTATGTTAAGTATAAGTGAGCCGAGTGTTACAGTGTTACTGGCTGTTTGTGTGTCAGGGTGAGGTCAGTCTGTGCAGCAGATGTGACTGTATGACTGACAGACTCAAGGTCTGTTTTAGTATATAAAGTGTGTGTGTTGGGGGGAGGGAGGGCGGAAGCAGGAATGTGGTTTGGGTGCTAGACGAGACACCAGACAGTATTTCCGGCACACTTGCATAAGCACACAGGAGAGACCGGGGCTTTTCTTCCTTACTTAGACGGAACACAATCATTCGCTCACATCGGCACTAAACTAAAAATTGTGTCTACTGGAACATTACCACACTGTTAAACCATTAAAGGGTTAGTTCACCCAAAAATGAAAATTAGACCGTTTTTTACTCACCCTTGAGGCCTCCTAGGTGTATGTGACTTTCTTCTTTCAGATGAATTCAGTCGGAGTTATATTAAAAATTGTCCTGGCTATTCCAAGCTCTATCATTGCAGTCAGTGGGTGGGTGGGGG